CATCCCGAGCCTGCCGCCCGACAATCCCCACTATGCGGTTTACCGCAGTTGGCACACCGGCCACGGCCCTGCTGGTGCCTGCTGGAAGGATCCGAGGTCTTAGGCTTTTTAGTGTGACCCACTGCTGTCTGTGCCTGCTCAGGCTTCCGCTTGGTGCGGAAGTCCAACTCCATTTCCCGCTCACGGGCCTTCTCCACCATCCCGTTCAGGGTTTTGCACCCTATAAAGCTCATAAAATCCCGGATATCATCCCTCATCATGGAATGATATCTCGTCTGCCTCATATCCTCATATGTAGCGTACTGTGGGATCAACAAAGCTCGTTCCCGAAACTTGGCGGTGATCTCCGCCACAGTCTCGGTGGTCTGCTGAAGGTCATGAAACTCCCTCACAAGCCGTTGCACCTCAATAGGTGGTGCAAACTCCACATCGAATCGCCGAACAAACTCGGCCAATGTCATCTCAGCCACACCAGCTGCTCCCACCTTGCTGGTCACCTCTCCCCACCAGTCTCGGGCTCTGTCCCTCAGCATACATGAAGCAAAACCCACCTTTGCCGCATCAGGGCAAGAATTCGTGCGCTGGGCGTTCTCAATATCCGCCACCCAGCGTCGGCTAACAATGGGGTCCCTGACCCCGAAAAACTTCGGCGCCCCGCACGCCTTGAACTCCCAGAACGAGGAAGTCCGGGCCCCGACCTGTCCCACAGCAATCTCGGCTCTGAATGACCTGAGCCTCTCCTCCATAATCTCCATCATGCCCTCCTTGATCGTCCCAAAGATCACTGGGGTAGCGTCAAGGATGCCCTTCGTCACCTCGGCTGCAATGATCTCGCGCAACCTCTCATCAATGGGCTCAGTACAGCTGCCCGACCCGGATCCAGATCCCGATCCTGACCCCCCTGCTCCAAATCGTGTCACCACCATGCTGAACTGAAATGTCATAAATCATAACGATCAGGATATCTATATAGGGGATCTTCCCACATCGTTCCTCCTTAGAGCTGTTAGATCTAACATTGGTTCGGGTATAGGTCCTGTGCTTTCAGTAGTACGGGCCCAATACTACCTTCCACACCTACCTGTACCTTTCCCCAAGGCTCTATCTGATAACCCCAATTCGTCCCAAAATAACCATATCCCACAGACTACCGCATATCTCAAATCCCAGGCTGTCCTAAGATTTGCTCTACCCACATCAATCATACCAATCATAACAGGTTGCCTTTATGCATGCAAATTATACACAGAAAAGGATCAAATAGACTTTTGAATAAGAGATTCTACCCTAGGACCACAACCAAACGAGGAACAGGAAATAAGGCCAAATCAATCATTCTAAGGCCATAAGCTCCTAACCGTATACAATTTTAAAAGCATACACATAGCAAGATCCATACGATTATCATAGCTCAAATATTGGTATAACATGGCTAACATATTGGGGAACTACTTACTTGGCTCGGCCGATCACGTGCGTTGCACTCTCATCTTTTCCATTCTTTAAAAGATTGAACTTTTATTTTATTTTTGAAAACAATTTTACCATTTCCTCAGTTTGAGTCATGACACCTGAGAGTGTGCCTGAATCCCTCAAACCAAGGCTCCAATACCAACTTGTAACGACCCAATTTTCAAAAGAAATTTTTCATTTTTAATTAACCAAAACACGTTCCACCAATCATGTAATCCCAAATACAATTGTTTTCAATTTCATAACAACAACAATTTTTATTTTAAAACATCAAAGTGTCCCATGATAAAGACTGAGAGAGAGTGCATGCCGCGCCATCAAGCCTTGCCCTTGCCCTTGGGCTCAGATGTACCTGAAACAAATCCAAAAACTGTAAGCTAATGCTTAGTGAGTTCCCCAGAGCATACCCCACACACAATCCACATATCATATCTCATATTAGCTATAAAAGCTACATATATCACATAAGCCATGCATACAACAAATAGGGATGCCATAGGCTCGTCCCCAGGGTCTTACTCCAGGATACCATGGGCTCCCCACATGGTCTTACACCTAAGTGCCATGGGCTCTCTCATAGTCTTTAATAGGAAATCCATGGGCTCTCCACATGGTCTTACATCCGGTTGCCATGGGATCTCCCATGGTCTTTAGTAGGAAAGCCATGGGCTCTCCACATGGTCTTACCTCCAAGTGTCATGGGCTCTCCCGTGGTCTTCCATAGAAGCATACTACATATACAACTAGCAATCACTTATCATAAAATGGGTCGGCCTTGGTGCCTTAGACCCATTGGTATGGTGAGGAGACTCACCTCTCGCGAATGATGTGCTGACAAGATAAGATCCAATAAGTCCCAACGCACAGCTCCAACTCAACTTCCTATAAGCATCATGAGGTTAACTTGTCAAAATCCCTAAATACCATAAATACCTTCAAAGTCAACTCTAGTCAACCCTGGTCAAAGTCAAGGTCAACAGTCCATGTCGACCCCAACTCGTCGAGTGCATCTAGCAACTCGTCGAGTTCCTACAGAGTGCAGAAAACCTGAACAAACCCTAGCCAACTCGCTGAGTTGTTTCATCAACTCGATGAGTTCACTTGATATCCAGTAGACGGGGGAACCCGATCCAACTCGTTGAGTTGCTAGGGCAACTCGTCGAATCCCCCTCCCTGTTTGCTTATTATGATGATACGCCGAATGCAGGGACTCCAGGGCTTAGATCTGAAACCCTAAGGTGTCTAGAAGGATAAAGTTTCCAACATTACCCTCTACAAACCACTCTGAATGCTCTAAGGCCCTTATCAAAGGTTGGAAAACTCAAAAACTTTGCCATGTGGTCCAAGACTCTAGGGATCTGGAATCCCTCCTTTCCAGAAGAGTTACTAGTCCTCAAAATGTTCCAAAGATGGAGGCTTTATGGACATGCATGTCCAATCCATGTCTTTTAGTCAAAACGGCCAAAAACGGGAAATATACTCTAAAAATCCTTGCATGGCATCCTTGCTTGACCAAAAGCTTGATCTAGCCCACCTTGGGACTATTTTGCCCTGGAGATCCATAAACTTGCAAACTTTATGAACCCCATGCATGCAATCAACAAGAATGATAGGAAATGAAGAGTAAATTAAAGATCTAGCCATATTCTAAGATAAAAATCGAATTTTGAAGACTTACAACAGTCCACAATATGGTCAAGCTCAAGAGTGAGGGCTTGGTTTGCTGGATCCTCTCCTTCTTCTCACTATCTCCTTCTTCTTAAGCTCCACAAGTCACTCTAGCTCACAAAATGAAAGAGAATGGGGATTAGGGTTTAGCACAGACATTCTTAGGGTTTGGAGGCTGATGGAAGGTCAACCTCAAGGTTCTTAAGGAGATTATATAGGGTGCAAACCCTAAAAATTAAAGTTTCTCTTTACAGTTCCTACTCGTCGAGTCGGGGACTACCGACTCGTCGAGTAGAACCCAAATCCCGCGTCCTCATAATAGTCTCTAATCGACGAGTTGGAGCTCCCCAACTCGCCGAGTCCATGCACAAAACCCTAAAAATTAGATAAATTAAATAATACCTGGAACAGGTGTTACATAATGTTTTGTGTGAGTTGGCCTAAGATAATAATTTTACTACATAACTTTAGTATGCAGTACACGTTATGACGTAGTCGATTTTCACCATTCTTACAAGAAACTACATTGATCCTTTGCCTTCAATTCTGACCTTCAAACCATTTATAACCTTGAATTGTTTGGTTGAGATCTCGAAACGTAGTCTTGTCACTGATCATGTGATTACTCGCGCCATTCTCAAGATACCACATATTGGATTGATTTTGCTCTTTTTCATTTATAGTTATTAATCATGGGTTGACCTTTTCTTCATTCAAGTCACTTTTTTTGGGCTCACTATCACATATTACTACCATTAGTAAAGTTGTTTTTATTATCAATGTGACATTGGGCTTAGTTAGCTTCTTGTTTTCTTTCTCGTCGTTGGTTCTCACATTCTGCATCAGAGTGCCCAAACTCTTGGCAACTATAACACTTGATGTGACTATTGCCATGATTATCATTTGTACCTCGAGTGCCTTCATGAGACTAATGGTTGTTGCCTTGACCTCCACGATTTTCATGATTTTCACCATGACCTCTTCCCCTAACTATGTTGGTTTTGCATCTTGTTGCAATTGTTTTCCTGCGTGGAACGAGTATGCTCTTCTTTTTGTTTTTTTTTTCCTTTTTGTCCATTCTTGGAGGGTAAGAAACAACTTTCTCACCTTAGGTTCTTGATGAACCTTGATTTTAATTTCATGAGCTTTCAATCTTTCTACAACCTCTTCAAAGGTGATAGTATCAAGATCACCAAATTGTTCAAGTATAGATGCAAGTTGAACACACTTTAAGGGTACGACACGTGACATCTTTTTTACTACATATGCTTATTCCAATTTTTCACCAAGAGCTCAAATATTCTTCATAATACCTCCAATTTTTGTAGAAAAATATCCACATCCTTTGATTTGCTCATGCTCAACATCTCAAAATCGACTTTGAGAGTTTGAACTTTGGTTGTGTTGACTCGATTTGCACCCAAGTACATAGTTTTGAGTGTGTCTGAAGCTTCTTTTTCCGATTGCTTCTCCGCTATCCTCAACAAGACCTCTTCAGGAATGTCTTGGTTGATGGCATCCATTGCCATCTTGTCTTTCTTCACACCTATGGGATTTTGGGGGTTCTTTGGTTCGATGGCCTCCCACACTTCTTAGGATTTCATGTAGATCTTCATCTTTATGGACCATGTTGTGTAGCCAGTCTTTGACAACATTGGATATTGGAGGGTAATTGATCCTTCTTTGTTTGCTATCATTACACCAAATTCAATCTAAAACCAAAGTTAGGTTTAAACTTGATAAACTCATTGCTTGCAACAAAAAGGAAAAAAACCGAACAAAGAAGGAAAAGAAGGCCTAAAGGAAATTTAATGTTAATGCTTAAACTCTTAATATAAATTGGAAACACGACATCTATTTATTGAAAAATAAAATACTCATAAACTTGGTAAACAAGTAATAATTGATGAGCAAGTAATAGACATAGACTCCTGATTAAACTCAAACTAAAGTTTCTTTATTTTACCCATACTCCTAAACTTCTGAATTATTTCCAACAGGTACTTTTCTAAAAATCACACTAAATTAACAAACAAAATACTTAAATTACTTTTTTTGGTTTTGATGAAATGTGATAACACGTACATCATCATTCTCTACTTGTTCTTAGCACTCTCTGTTGCCAAAACGGAATTCTTGATAAGATGAAGAGATTCCTCTAGATCATCACATAGCCTTTGAGGGTCTGGTATGGTTTCTTCGTCTGCTGATATCACAAACGTCAATTTATCCACATAACTCACTATGTGAATCATCAATGCCTGCAAAAACATTATTATTATATCTCCATTTAAAATTTCTAAAGGTTTCACTTGACGATGGTAGATAGATAGATCAATGTCAAATTTAATATAAATATTCTACTATTTGCTGTCTTAAATACTAGTTTACAGAAAAACATCTAACAGTCTATCAGAAAGTAATAATTATTTATAATGGGTTATTATAAATGAAAAATATATAATTGGAAACTATGTTGTTTGTATTTGCATTAGCATGGAGAAAGTATGCATTGCAACTTTTTCCAACCTATATATAACAAACTAAAATTATCAATCTACCCGTTGTCATTTAAACATCATTATTCATATGTGTATATCATATCCTAAAATAAATTCTAAGTTTTTATTTTTTGTGTATGCTGCTTGGGCAAAATTTCAAACTATTATTATTACAAACAAATTGATGGTACTAATTTAGATACACACAATTCTTCTATTTAGCTTTCATAAAGAACATAATGTCATTTCAAAATTCATTGTGTAAGTTTTTCATGATATATATATATATATATATATATATATATATATATATATATATATATATATATATATATATATATATATAACTCTGCTTACCAAAGAAGTAGCTTAGTTTCCAAAAGTGAAATTTTGTTTTATGTAATTAAATCTCATCATATAAACCTTTAAATAGTGATTTTATTTTCTCTTAAATAAAGATCTACTGAAAAAACATTCATTTACATGCTATTTCTCCTCAATTAAATAATAGGAAATTTGCAACAATTATGCCTTATTTCAAGGCCAGGTCTACTAACATACTCATCCACATATAGCCACATGCATTTGATGTATGTATATATGTCTTCATAAACATACAGTTATATAACTATACTATACTATATATATATATATATATATATATATATATATATATATATAGCGTACAATATTAATTGTCCAAAAGAACTGTTATAGAGAAAGATGAACTCCAACATATATAAACACTTATAAAACCGTGTTGCACCGATATAAATACACTAACATTAAATGTATACTTACATTGGGTTGTCCATAACAACTAGGAGCAAGGTAAGTCAAATCATGTCCATAAAATGTGACTTCTTGTTCCGGACCCGGTACATTTGAGAACCACAAGGTCGTGTTAGAAAAAACCTTGTGGTTTAGCTTCCCCACAGCCTGCATCAATCCCAAATTCAACACCATACCTAAAATAGTCATTAGTAGAGTTTCGTTCTGTAACTGTATCAATACAAATATACAGTCATAAAACGAAACTCGATGATTTTTTATTTTTGCATTGTAAAGTAATATATGTACCTTAATGCCGAACAACTTGAGGACAAAATAAACAATAAAATAAGTGTATAACGGCTCAAAAGAAGCTTTCTTTCGATCGATGACTGCTTTGGCTTCTTTTACGTAATCTAAAGGGTTAGTTTTGAGTCCAATTTTAAACGGGAGAAGCACATAACCGATCTGGTTACCCCATCTTCCTAACTTCCCAGTTTTCATTGTTTCCACGAGTGTCTAGGTGCACACAAGGTAAACAGAAAAAATGTTGATTATAATGATATCAAAGGCATATGCTTGAATCTAACAATTTAGAGAAAGGATGAACACACATGAAAGAAATTACTAAACTCACATCGACCCTAGTGGTTGCTCTTAGGTTGAAAAAGAATGTGGCGCGAAGGCGGATGTTTTTTGGAATGAAGTTGTTTTTGTTACAATGATAAGTCCCCTTAGCATTACTGATTTCACCTGAAACAATTATTTCGATTAAATACAAACAATAAAGAAAATTAGTCATTTTGAGATTGGAATGAAGGTCATGAGATAACAACATACTATTTCACTGATATCGGTCGAAGTTATAAAATAAATAATACTAACAAAGTAAATATACATATTAATAAAATGTAAAAACTATAATAGAATAAAATAAAGGGTCAACATTATTAGTTTCAAACCAATTATTTTAATATATTCAAAATGTCAATTTACATATTTTAATAGGGAAATCTCCAATAAAGTCTGTGCTAGTTTACGGTTTAATCCCAAATTTTATTTTTTGAACAGAAAAGTTTCGATTATTTTATATTTTGTCCAAATTAACGAAACAATCTTTATTTTTTTTTTCAACAGAAAATAAGAAATTATCATATAAAATTACATAATCGGGAATTTTTTGTTAAAAAGAATAAATGTTTTGAATAAACCGTAAATTAACCTAAAATATTAGTAACTTATCAGAGATTTTCCTATTTTTATATCATGAAAGTTTATCCATTTTTTGAAAGTGTTTTTATTAGTAATTGTGACTTGGCATATTAAATTGACAGAATACATAATTCTTTTACAAATGTAGCCAAAATTGAAGATTTGTTATAAACTTGGTCTTAATTATTTATTTTTTTTTACAAATTTGCTCTAGCTTTTTCTTACAACTTTATTTATATTATAAGGATTGATTAAAAATATTAAATAAAATGTTTAAACACCATGTATTTTTAAAAGTAAATTTCGGAATAAATACGGGCGAAATAATGAATAAATAAATATTTCAATATATACTAATAAAAGAAAATTTATTGACATATTTTAAAGAAATGATGAATAAATAACTAGATATTGCTAAGTTTACCATCATTGTCCAAAATTAATATTTTTTAATGCATCTATTCTTTTAACTCTGGACAATGCAACATACAACTACCCATGAGTGAACACTGGTTGTCTAAAAAACTTTGAAATTTCAAGAACAAATCTGAAATCCGATGAACTGTTCTGGAATTAGATTTTTTTTACTCAAATCTATTTTTTTTAACAAATAAAGTAAATGTGAACTATATACAATATTAGAGCATAAAATCGGACATTAGATTGAAAAACTATGACATTAAACACTTTGAAATTGACATTTCGAATGTAAGGAGAGAGATTTATTTGGAAAAGAACTTGGCAAAAATAAAATAAAAAAAACACTTAAATTTGAAGATCATATCTGGAATGGACATTCGGGAGTACGTGATCATTTTTCAAAACCGAAAAAATGATTGTTTTCTTAAAAAAACTCAATTATAATGGTTAGTTTACTCGATATATATATATTTTTTAAATACAACAAATGGAAAATTAAGGTTTTTAAAACGACATTTAATCTTTTTCTATTTCATATATATCTAAAGTTTATTGTTTGTTTCCATTTAAAGCAACGCAGATAGTCTAAAAGTATACCAAATTAAAAAATATATTAATATTAAATCATTAAGATAGTTTACAACTCTTAAAATGTTAAAAAAAAAGTAAATTTCTTAAAACTTTTTAATACAATATTGATAAATCTTTATAAATGGTCCATGTGGTTTCCAGAAATATCAAGTTTAGTCCTAATTTTTTCGATCTCAAATCCATGTGGTTTTAATTAGAATCATGGTTGGTCATTGTGGTTTTAATTTCTATAATGACTGGTCTTACTGGCCCAAAAAACAATGACTTATTTACTTATTTTATTTTGTTTTTCTATTTTCTTTTTTATACAACAATTAAAAAACCAAAAAATAAATACCACCCCTACCCAACCCCCACCCCACCCTTCCCCATCTCTCTTATAACTGCGTTCGCTTCCTTAGTTCGACCTATTTTTTTTGTCAATACCATCTCCCACGATGTTACTCACCACCGATGTCTACCTCATCTAACATCCATTTCTATGAACTACCGGTAACTACTAGCTTACAAAACCCATCACTGAAGCTTTTTATAGATGTAACAAAGCCATTGTCAGTGGCGACCCAACAATTCCAGTTGCTTGTTCCTTCTTCTCCGACGAATCACCACCACCCCTTCGTCTTCTCTAGTAACATAGTCGCGCCTTTGAAATCTTTATGAACATAGTCTATTCCGATCACAACAATAGAGCTTGAAGCTGCAAGGTTCAAAGCTCAAGAAGAACCCTGGCTAAAACATGATCAGTTTATTCAACATTCAGGAACGAGAAGATGTTTCACCATCACCATCCACTACCTAACGTCGCCCTAACCCCTGTGAAAATCATTGGAGGTAAAAGTACCCTTCATCTTTAATTTCCATCCAGCTTTAACACATTCACAAATTTGTTCGTCAGAGATAAAAGATGGGTCTTGTTCTTTTATTCACCATTGTTGTAGAGTACATATCCGACGATAATGTTTTATGGTGCTAAAATGCAAATCCGACGAAGATCTAGTGATGATGCATAACGGTCAATGAAGGAGGTTGAGGTAGGCCAAAACTGGAGAAGATGAAGGGATAGGGAGGTTTCCAGTGGCAATGGAGCAAATCCGATGAGTATAATCGCCGACGGTTTTGTGATAGCGAGCGTTGGTCAAAATTTTGTTGACAATGGTTATCTGTTTATGGTGGGTGATTGTTGATTGTTTATGATTGAGTGATTTTGGGTTATTTTACACAAGAGAATATAGATAAGATTTGAGAGATGCTTATATAAGACAATTTTTTATAAATAGAAAACATCAACTATTAGGTCGGACGGTGTGGGTGAGGGAAAGGGTGCGGGAAGCTTTCCCTCTCACCTGAACACCGCTCCTTGACCGAGGGAAATGTGGTAAGGGAGCCCATTGACGCACTCTCTCTCTTATTCCTATTGGCCAACTTTTTTTATTTATTTATATTTTTTTAATACTTATTAAATTATATACCTACTAAAAATTATAAAAAAAATATATCAAAATTCATGGTTTTTAATTCCCTACAAAATGAGTATAATATTTGTAGGAAATATATTTAAAAAAAAATAGTGAGGGAAGTTTCCCACCATTCCTTGGGTTTAGGTGAAGGAAATGAAAATGAGGAAAATGGTGTTGTGGCTCACAAAAAGTGAGGGGAAGTGAGGGGAGTTTCTCACCCTCACCCTCCGGTCTTATAGAAATTAAAATTATATAGACCAAAATTAGGGACTAAACTCGATATTTCTAAGAATCATAGGGACCATTTACGAAGATTTGTCTACAATGTTTTTTATAAGATTTTCTTTAAGTTGTAAAAAAAGTTATAAAAAGAAAATTTTACTTATTATTATTATTATTATTTTAGAAATTCATATCGTAAAAACAAATATAAACACAAATATGTAAAAAAAAAACATAGTTTCTAAATAATCTAATTTGTAAAACGAAAGAAATCTTAAAATATATACATGAAAATGAATATGTAAAATATATTTAGAAAACAAATTATAAAATCAATAAGAAAACTACTTTTTCAAAATATGTTTAAACGAAATTGTAAAAAAAAACAATAATATGGACCGAATTTGATAATAATAAAAACTGCAACTTGTGAATATTTGTAAAAATGAGAAGTTGGATAACAAATATGCACGTTATGGTGATCAATTTCCAACAATTTTTATCCGGTTGATCCTAAGTATTTTTTAAAGATACGTGTGTAGATCGAGGTTTACCATCAAATTAGTGGGATGGTTTATTTAAATCATTTTTTTTAAGGTTGGGCAATAAGTATCTTCTTTAACCAATTTTACCTCCTTAACATCAATCTAATCAATCTTTTACTTTTGATTTAACATCATTTTTCTTATATATTATTATTATTATTATTATTATTATAAATTTTGAAAACCATATAAAATTCGGACAACATTTTAAAATCCAGACAACATTATAAATTCGGACGATATTATAAAATTCCAACGACTATATAAAATGGAACAAAAGTAAAGTTTGCTTTCAATTCGCATAACGCACCACACAAATTTAATACCGAACCAATTAATATATCCGTGATAAATGAAGACAAACATTGCTTTTGTTCCGTTTTATATAGTCGTTCGAATTTGATTATGTCGACCAAATTTATAATGTCGTCCGTATTTTAAATTTTATCTGAATTTTAAAATGTTGTCCGAATTTTATACGGTTATTGAAATTTATAATAATAATAATAATAATAATAATAATATTAAAATAAAAATTAAAAAATTAAAAAATTAAAAACAACAAAAAAACAAAATAAAGAAAAAAAAAACAAAATACAAAAAAAATCACATCAGGAGTGGAATTGAAAAAGAATGGGGGTACTCATAAGTCGTAACATTAGCCTTTTAGAAGTGGTTATTTCTCAAGAAATGAAAACGTATAAAATATTCTTTAATTACATTGAAACTGGTTGGTAAAAAATAATGTTATCCCTAAAATAAATAGATAGTTTACTGAGTTTTGACATAAACATATAATTCAAATTTCCGTTGATGGTACAAATCAAATAGTTTGTTGTAAATTCATGATTTTGCCTCTTTTGAAAATAGAAACATAATCAAGTAGCTTATCATCAATTCGTGACCTTTTGTTTCAAAAACTTAAAAAGATGGTTGTCATGAAAAAATGTAAACAAACAATACCATTTGATATACCCACGTCACCCGTAGTAGAGCCTACGTGGGGTGAAAATTAATAATATTTTAGACGTAACAGAATTTTGAACCTTGATCTCAATTGTGAAACGCTACACATTAACCAACTTTCATTGTGAGCGTGGAAAATAGGGAAATTGGAATTAATAGGTGAATGAAAATGAAAAATTAACTTAATGGTACCAGATATTAGTTAGGTGAAATGAAGATGGAATTGCATTGCGAATGGATATTTTATCAAAATTTGATATCAGGAATTTGAAATGTATTGAGATAGAAATGCAACAGAACTTACTGTATCTACGATTCAAATAACGTGATAATCCTGCCTGAGTGACTCCAAGCACGACATCATTGACTGTCTGCAACATTAATGTCATCGATCACATAGATGTAGATTATCACAATTCGTTTTCAAACAAATGATCTTGAAGATCTTTACAAAAAGTTATTTTCTTTAACAAGGTTTTGTGGTAAAACCATACACGTGATAACATACTTTCCTTACCAAATGTCGTCACATGTTATCACTTATTTATTTACTTATGATTGTCTGTGCTAAAAAAGAAAGATGACATGTAATACGTGATACGTTTGATTTAATCCCAAATTATAAACATATTAACATACCACGCCCATGACATTCTTCACCGCCTTGATGTCAACTAAGTTGACGCTCCTGTGCACAAAACGCCTTGGTCTATTCTCAACTCCTAGATTGCCTTTTAATGGGGTTTCCGTGTCTTTAAGAAACAACACGGTGAACACAAACATCACAAGCGCAACACAGGAGTTCCACAACATTTCTAGAACCGAACAAAATCCTTTAAATTTTATGTAGCTGTAGTCTTTGTTGAAAGGAAGCGTAGGCAAGGCATTCGGATCCGATGATTTTCTTGTACAAGCAAGAAGAAGTGTCATTAAAGAAATACCGTCCCCTAAGGAATGGTGGAAGCGGAAAACACCTGTTCCTTCATTGTTGGTCGTCTTAATGTCAAGAATATGGAGATCCCATAAAGGTTTTGAGTCCTCAATGGGAGATTTACTGAGGTTTGAGATATAGTCCTCAACAAAACTGTCTGGAAATGCAATGTTTGGTTCAAGTTTTGGAACGATAACATGGTCATCGATGTTCACATTTGTCGGAACCCATCTGATGCTCCGGGTTTCTTTGTTGAAAACCTAAAAAAATCGACAAGCATGCAATAATTTAGAAATGAAAAAAATTAACTATCACAAACGAATTAAATGTGCAAAGTAATGTAATAAACCATTGTTTGGTTGATTTATAAAATATATAACGAATTATCTAGATATCACGTCGGATTAGATTAGATTAATCATCAAGTTATTAAACACAACAAAGATGTCAGCTAATAAAATTAAATTATTAATCCACACTTAAGTTATATCACCCAATAAAATATATAAAAATATAAAAATATTTTTATATTATATATAAAAATATAGTCTTTTGAAATAATACAATAGTTATAAATTTTATCATTTAATTGACTAAAAATAGTCATTTTCTTTAGATGAATGACTATTTTTAATCAATTGATAAAATGAAAAATTATAAATGATATATATATATATATATATATATATATATATATATATATATATATATATATATATATATATATTATATATATATATATATATATAACTATATTATTATACAAACCTTATTATTTTTAAAAATGGATTTAAAACATCAAGTGTTTAAGCTTAAAATACAACAATTTATTAATATAATAATATTATAATATAAATTCTACAAATTATAATGCATTAGTTACAATTATTGATGCATAATAAACTATAGTCAAATCTTATCTTTAGGTTTACTCATCTTTCCATGTTTGGGATATATTTTATTTAAAATCTAATTTGGTCAATGAACAAATGAAACGAAGAAAACGGGATTGGCTCTAAAAAGAAATTTTGAATTTTTAAAAATTTCCTTATCTTCCCTAATGCTTCTAATTTACAACCGACATTTGAGGGGAAGGTCAACGAGTTCAAATTTTAAAAAATTATTTTATCATCTCTTTATACTGCCGGCCCCTCCTCTATAAATTACTTGCATCCCAATATGTGATTTTCATTCTTTGTATCTCTCTAAAACACCACCACTTTGGGGTTCTGGTTCATGCACAAGTCGCCTCAAAAATCATCGACCTTCACATTCCAAAACACCATTGCACCACCCAATCCCAGCCACCTTAAACGGTCATATCCCCAGCCACCTTCAACGACACTAATGTTAAATGTACAGTTCATCTCTAGCTTCCATTGCCACCTTCACAGCCGGAAATCATCACCATAAACAACCATCGTCTTCTGCCTACACCACCATTAAAACTCACCACCGTCATAAGCTTCATCGAAAACAACCAACACTCACAACCAATACCACCCCCTTCTTCACCTACATCATCACCTATATAGCCACCCATTTCCGACAGTACCAATCACCACCAAAAACATCCACCGTCACCTACATCCATCAACCACCGAAACTCCCCATCTTTGTCTTCACCGATTTTCAACTGAACCACAAGCCATCACCATTGCCACCTTCGAGCACCATAAAGAGAACCATCCTCCACCATCTGTTATCATTATCTTCCATTAACCACCACTTACTACACCACTTCAACCCACTGAAAATCGGCATCACCGGTTCGCCATTAACCACCACGTCCACGTTTTCACATACCCAATCGGGAACTCGCACCTGCCAAACACCTCCACGAAGTCGATGCCATTGATGGAGCCATCACTATCTTGGAACACGACCTGTTACAACCGTAAACATCGACGGAGCCATCAGTACCATCGACGGAGCCATTGATGGAACCAAGCATCGTTGAACACCACCTCCACCTGTTAAAACCGTGAACATCTACACTACCAAAACTGTTGAGAACCACCCATCATCACCGTCGTCCTCTCCATCAAACACCATATGTGGATCAAGAGCAAGAAAGAAAGAAGGAGTAGTAGGAGTGTGCGATTTGTGTGGATAAACATATTTCCAGATGAATTAATTGGGCTAAGCATTGGTGGATTAGCTAATACACGAAAAATTGAACCTGAAAAATTCAAAATTGTTGGTTGATACGAAAAGTTTCACAAAGTTTCTTGGTTGTGTCTCCCAGACAAGCATGCATAAACTAAAGTATGGGTTGTGCATGTGTTTTTGTTTTGTTTTGTTCCAAGCCATATGTCGAGCTTATGCCTATATTTGTGTTTTATAAATATGTTAGTTGTGATTTCAAAGTTGAGACTTTTAGCATGTCATATGTATATGTAATTGAGGTTGTAATTAAATAACATTGTTGATGCACTATTTTGTAACTTTTTTTTGTTTTTATTTGTTAGTATCAATTATTAGTTTTTAAGGATTTTTTCATTTTCTTAAAGACAGTTGGTTTTTAAAACCAGAGATGACAAAAAACTAACCCGACGTTAAAGAAATGAGCTTAGGAGTAAGATTAAAAGGGTTCACACAATATGAAAGTAAGATTAAAAGTAATGTATAAATGGAGAAAATTATGGTGTTGTATTTCATTTTATAATATCATCAATTTTAAAGTTCTAACTGAATCATTTCTATGGAAGGATTATATGTATGCCAAGTTTCGGCAAAATATTATATTTGTTTTTGTTGGGACGGTTAAATAGAATATTATATCATCATATGTCGATGTATGAAAAATGTTGGTGTTTGATTACTTTGTTCAATTTTTATTTTCTTCTATTATGGCTGATCTTGTATGACTTCAAAATGGATAAAAAGTTGTGGGATATTTGTATGTTCTACAAGGATCTCAATATACTAAAATGTGTGTTTTACTTTCATATAATTTCATGCAATTAATTACAAGAGCATTTCTACGCTTTGAATTTCAAAATACATTGATAATATTGGTCATGGACAAAAAAAACTAAGATAAAGTTATGAATTAAAATAATTTTTTTTCCTATAAATCAAGCTTAAATTATAAAAAATACAAAATCCAATTTTATACAAACATGAAAATAAAATAGTCATTATATATAGGAAACGTCTACTATTCAAAAAGCTAAGTAATATCTTTTTAAATAATCATATTTTTTCAATTAATCAATGTATTAATAAAATAGAAAGCAACTTCAAATAACCAATAATTTATTGTTAGTAGCTACTAATGAGAAAACGAAAAAACTTTCAGCCTTACATCAATTAAGCATTAATATTTTAAATTGTTTTATTAAAATGTATTACGACATTCATAGAAACAAAAATTTAGTATATACTAGAAATGTTTTGATCCAAATATGATGTTTTCCGGTTTGGAATACTAACTTAGACGAAAATCGTAAATCCAATAAAGGCAAAATCCTAAATCTCAATCTCATTTTAACTGTCAACTCTCTCAAAACTACTATTTATTGATGTATTGTGAAATCTGGTTAAGATGACATGTTTCTGAAATAAAAATATTCATCAATGAAAAACTATTAATCGTCATCTCCATAGTGAACGTCTCACCCACTACTAAGAACTATATCACTAATGTTGGTCATACCATAAACATAAGACATAAAACCCTAAACATTAAAGGAAACTATTTTCCAAAATACCATACAAGTATTTACAACTATTAAAGATATATTTAAATGGTAAATGATAATTTTGATAAATTGTGTATTTTTTTGTAATATATCATTTTCTGAAAGAGAAACTAATTGTAGTATGAAATTATTCACCGATACAAAACTAAATGTGAAAACGAAATTATTCACTGCCCCTCGCCTGCCGCCCGTCGCATTGCGCGGGTAACAGCTAGTATATATATATATATATATATATATATATATATATATATATATATATATATATATGAACAAATTACTGAAATCGTCCCTATGGTTTGGTAAAAATTACTAGTTTGGTCCCTAAGTTTTTTTTTGCACTCGGACCGTCCCTAGGTTTTGGTTTTATTACGTCTTTCATCCTTGTTACACATAAAAAGACTATAATACCCTTTTCTATTTTCTTTTTCATTTATTTATTTTGTTAGAGTTATTTATATTATTAATTAATTAAATGGGTCTCATCTAATTATATCTTTACACTTAACATCCCCATCACCAACACTTAACCTCCATGGAAATCAATTCCAGGTTCTCACTTCTCCGGTGAACAACCATACGCCACTACCATCTCCATCGGAAATCTCTTGCCTCCAGCAAGACCAAAACTCCGAGGAGACTAGAACACCAGCAAACAATAGATCCCGCTCCTATTTTTTTTCTTCCTGTCCATTATCAAGCCTGATGATAGAACACCACACACCACCACCATATCTGGCGGAACCAGAACTCCGACGAACACCATACGCCATCACTCGCCACCCCACACCCACCTCCATCATCTCTTCCCCCTAAACCAGTAAACCCTCATCAGTACCCTAACACTCACCCTCACTGTGATTTTTTCCCTCTCGTTCCTCCATTGAACTGCTGAAGGAGATTTTAAATCGAAAATGGAGATCTGCAATATAAGATCTGGAACTCAAATCGAAGATCTTCACTGAACCTGTATCTCAAATCTCCTATCACCATCCCCGTCTTACTGAAGTTAGAGCCACCACCATCGTGTTACTGACCGGGTGATTTTCTGAAATAGGAATCATCACCGCCATAGGTGGAGTAAGGTATCAGAGAATGAGAAAATCGAATTGTTTCCTTCCACCACTGCAGGCGGCTGTTTCCTTCCACCGACGCAGGAGGTTGTTTCATATGATTTTTCTTTCATCAACGATTTTGAGGGTAGGTTTTAGGTTCTGTCTGATTTGGTTCGTCTTTCATTTTTGGGATTGCATATGATTTTTCTTTCATCAACGATTTCAGGGTAGGCTTTGGGTTTTGATTTTCTGATTTGGTTTTGATTTTGGGATTTAATCTTGATCTAGTTTTGATTCTTGGCATTTAATCTTTGGATATGACCTGATGAAACTGTTTACGTTGGCGGTGGTGGTGCTGGAATAAATGGATGGTGGTGGTGACTGGTGGTGATTGCCGGTGAACAATGACCGGTGGTGGTTGTGCCGCAAGTGGGAGTTGGGTCCCAATAAATCACTTAATTGATTTTATTAAACCAATAAATAATAAAAAAATAATAAAAAAACTGAAAAAAGAAAATACAAAGGGTAATATAGTCTTTTCATTTCTAAAAGGGATGATAAACGCAATAAAATCATAACTTAGGGACGGTCCGAGTGTAAAAAAAACTTAGGGACCAAACCAGTAGTTTTTGCCAAACCACAGGGACGATTTCAGTAATTTGTTCTATATATATATATATATATATATATATATATATATATATATATATATATATATATATATATATATATATATATATATATATATATAATTTAATAGACTAAAAATAGTCTTTCCCTTTCAACAAAAATCGTCATGGGAGTGAATCGCATTTTATGACGAATCTTATATTTCATTCATACACAAATAGCTAAACAAGATTGTTTTTATTTCATTGCAATGACCCATTTTATTTCAACTATATATGATTAGTGCATAGCAAATACTATAAAAATATGTGAATTAGTTAACATCATTTATAGTGTCATAAAACTTAATTAGCAACGTAAATAGTAGACACGTCTCAGGAACATATAAATCTTCTGAAATTAATGTGTTGGTAATATAACTCCTAGAGTCCCGGGTTTTAATACCACCACGTACATTAATATTAGGTTTGCACCTAAAGTCTAAAAACAAAAGACCACTTTAAAAAGTGTCATATCAACTTAATATATGAAATTTATTGTTAATATGGTTCCTTTCAGAACGTGAGCACTTATCTTATTCTGTTGCCATTTGTAATGTCTCAAGTACAAAGTAACATAATGGTGTACTAAACTCAAATCAACGTCAAATTATATTACAACCCGCTTACAAATCAACCGCACGTCCTATATGAGAGAAATTAACAGACCATTGTTTACCTGTAGGCTTGAGAATCGAGGATGTCGAAGGAGAGATTGAACAAGATTTTCTTTTAATACATCAACGTTGATCTTAGTTTTGCACCCCATAATGGATATGATGTACACATTGGAGCCAGGTTCATGGAACAACCTAGCCATAGGGCTCAAAGGTTGATCTTCTTGTTCTTTAAATCTTGAACCATCTTCCGGAATTGTTTTGATCTGTGTAAGAGTGTTGAGACCTTGTGAGGAACTCATGGCTCCAACAAAATTGAAACTTTCTATATTTGGGAATGTAGTTTGAGTTCATGAATGACTTCCTTTTATGTAAATCCACCATGGCCCCATTCTTTATGATTTCCGTCATTATATCAAACAATAAAAATGGTCAATCATGAGCATTTGTGGGGTATGTGACCGCACATGCCCTTGTCGTTTAGGGATGGCCCCATACTTGTTTTGCACATATTAGTATTAACAACGGGCTAGTCATAGATTACTGACAGATTAGTAAAAAAATTTGTTTCGCCTAATTTTATAATAATTATCAGATTTGTCATTGGCTTTTTCTTATATAGAAAACTATATTTATTGGCCAATTATCATTTTTCGCACAATGCCTTAAAAAATTAGTGGACCGAGCCTGACAACTAATGATCTTACTAAGGCCATCTTGTATACACATCACGAGAAGGCTCGTGGTGTGTATACACCTCATCATCTTCTTCTTCCACCCTCATTCCATTCTCAATCCGGTATACTCACAACGAAGAAATGTGGTTGTTGTGGGTGTAAGCTGCAAGAGAGAAGAGGAGAGGAAGAGAGAAGAAAGAGTCCATGGTGAATTGTGGTGGCCAACACGAGAGACCACGCTCGTGGTTCCAGATCAACACCACGAGAGGAACGGGATAGTGTGCACGGAAAACCACCGTGGCCACCTGGACCACGAATGACTTCGTGATACCCATACCAGACGGCCTTAGGTGTAAAAGTCGAAATTGATAGATATTATATAATATACTTAAAATAAAATTTTATTTTTAAGAATGTATTTTCAAAATCAATGTTTAATGTCCTATATAATAACTATGAAATCTATACGATATGATTACCTAAGTTGTAAATTAAATTACTAGTAACCAGTATCTATTTTATCATTAAGTTATATTTTAGGTTTGATTTCTATATTACTACTAACTTATACTTTAGATCTTTATATATTGTTGTAGCCAAGTTGGTAGGTAACATGCGATTTACTTTAGTAGGACATCAAACATTATATAGAACAGCGGCTGCTCTATATGTTTCTGTAACGGGTTTGTCATAACTCAAATACTTTTGTTTTACATGCAATTTATCCTATACATAAATTTGGGCCGGCCATCTGAAACCCCTTCAATTCATCACCCTTCCCCCTATTGAGTATTAACTATTTGGGTACCTGTATGGTTTGTATTTGTTTATTTATTTATTAATTGTTATATATATATATATATATATATATATATATATATATATATATATATATATATATATATATATATATATATATATATATATATATATATACATACTAGCCGTTTACCCGCGCCAAGCGACGGATGCAAATAGATTTTTTAGAAATTAGTTTCTAGAGGAGAATAACTCTTTTGCACAAAAGGTTTACAACGTTTAAACAATTATCAATAAGAGTCATCGTAGCAAAAACGAAATCAATAAAAATTAAAAACGAAAAGTTGAGATTTTTTAAAAATGTACACAAACACATGACTAATTGTGCATTATTAATCGTGCAACACTTCTTAATACACCACATTTGATGCATAGACTTCACTGCCGTTGAATTGTTCGTCAGAGTTCATTAATACTTTTTGTCACGTGATATCTCTCTGGACAATGTCATATAAAGTTGCTCATGCGAGAAAACCGATTTTGGAAAATAAATACTTACATTTGGAATTGTTTGTCCCTGAGCTTTATTGATTGTAATCGCAAAACATAATCGAATTGGAAATTGTTTTCCTATTGGATTAAACGGGAAATTGTTTTCTAAACGGGAAATTGTTTTCTAATTGCTATAGCTAAAAAAAGTCCAGGAAAACATTTTGTTTTATTGTGAAAGAAGAGTCATTTGGAGTAAACCCATGAAAACGTTGTAAACATAAAGGATTTGTGAAATTTTACATTTATGAAAGCCATAACCAAAATAATTTTTTTCAATTCGAATCCTTTCTTGTCCAACATGGGGTTTTTTATGCACCGGTATAAATTTCTATTGTAAACGACTTAAGTATGATATATCAAGCAATGCATACACATATTATCTTTTGATTTTATTATAAAATACATATATGAGTAATCCAGTCTTAATAAAACATTTGATCTTCGGTACTTGCAATTTGCAGATCTTCAGCTGTTAATAAAACACTTGAAATCTACCGATCTTCGGTTCTTAATGACAATGGACTGATCATGAACACCGATTTTGAAGCCATTGAAGTCATAATTTTTTGGTCTTTATTCTTTAAAAAGTTAAAAAGCTACAAATAAATAATGTATTAAAAAATGTTTAGTCAAAGGAAGTTGTCTAAACATGTCAATTTCATCAATACTTAAATTTAAAAATATTATTTGATCGATGTAATTAAATTGACATGGAAAATGAGTAATTAGTTGTGTAAAACAACATGGATGTTGAACTTTCAACAAAGTTAGAAATTCATAAACCATTTCGTGTTTGTTATTTGTTAATCCTTTTAACATTTAACACCAAAAAAATAATGTGATTAAATTGACAGTATGAATAAATGCAACCTATTGTTTGAACATATAATTAAACAAAAGGTAATTCAATAATGTATATTAGTGTTTTTAATATGTTAACAATTAAAAGTATTATATAAAATAGGGTAAATGCAACGTACTTTCACATATTTGTTAGTTATAGCTAGAAGATTTAGTTAAATCCATTTCCTTATGTTTTATCCCCATTTGCAGCTTCGTCCCCAACTCATACCACCATTATATAGCTTTTCATTAATTTGTAATTTTGTCTCTTTACTTGATTCCTTTTGTTGGATGCCACCACTCTATTTATTTGAAGCGTGTATAATTGTTTCCTTAGGGAATAAACAACCCTAAAATCAGCAAATAAAGAAGCCGGATTTAAATCAATTGCAACACAAAAAATCAGAAAAACAACAGTGAAACAACATACATGTAGTTTTTAATAATAAATCATAACACTTTAATAACTCACGTCCATGCAACTATTTCCTGCATTTAAACATCGAAACATTCCTAAAATGAAAGTATAATGCCATTACCTGCATTAAATTTTCAAAAAAAAAGTTAAAAGGTTAACCAAGGAGATAATTACGTCTATAAAATGCTACTTTTTGCATATAAATTTTCAAAACATTTAGAAGTAACCGAAATCAATGTATGATTGACTGAAGTATAGCTGATAGTAGCCATGCTTAAATGCATATTTAGACCAAAGTATACCTAATGGTGACGTTTACGTTTTGTTGTTTCGGTTTTGGATTTTGTACTGTGATGGACTTTTGGCCTCTGTTTCGACTCCTTTGTTTTCCTCCTTGGTGGTGTTAAAAGTAATCCAGTAATCTTTATTGAATATGCACGTCTTTTTATGTTAGGAAGAATAAATCAAAGCCACATGGTATCTGTATACCTGGTCTTTAGCTAGTATCAGTTAGTTCCTATTTTCATGCAAGTTTTTTTGTTTAAATAGTCTAGCTATGTACGTGACTGGTGTCACCTTTTTTTCTCTGTTATCAAGTTAAATAAGAAAAGCCTCTAAAGCTTTGGAAAACTCTGTTCCTTGTCCAGATTACTAAAGCTGCATAGATATTCCATTTTTGCCCTTCTATATTTTGTCCCCTGTATAGGTTGCTTTCCTGTCTCTGTTTCCATTTTGGTGTAAAAGTCCCTATTGTTGCTGCTAAAGTCCAACACTTGGTATCAGAGCAAAGATTCTGGTGCATGCCCAAGTATCAATCTCGTGAAGAGATGGCAGGAAACAATGGGAATGGCGACAAAGAAGGTCAAATTACTCTCCACTATCCAATGTTATCAAGAACCAACTATGGAGCATGGGCAATCAAGATGCGGGTCTTCATGCAGGCTCATGGTGTGTGGGATGCAGTAGAGCCCAGAACTCCAAACACAGATGTTGATGCAAAGAAAGACAAAATGGCATTAGCAGCGATTTACCAAGGGATACCTGAAGATCTTTTAATGTCATTGGCTGACAAGAAATCGGCCAAGGAAGCATGGGAGGCATTAAAAACAAGATTTGTGGGGGCAGACAGAGTAAAAACGGCGAGGATTCAAACTTTAAAGGCAGAGTTCGAATCACTTACCATGAAGGAGTCTGAAGGAGTAGATGATTTCGCCGTGAAGGTTAGTAATATCGTCAGTTCCATGCGCACTCTGGGTGATACCGTAGAAGAAGCCTATGTAGTGAAGAAGCTGCTTAGGGCAGTGTCGACCAAATTCCTGCAATTGGCCTCGACCCTGGAACAATTTGGAAACCTAGATGAAATGACAGTAGAAGAAGTAATTGGAAGATTAAAAGCACATGAAGAAAGAATGAAGGGCCATACTGAAAGTGATGATCGAAAGCTTCTCTTGACACACCAAGAGTGGTCAGAGAGGAACAAGAAGAAGGGTGATGGTGACTCCAAGTCCAAATCGCAAAGAGGAGGGTTTGGCGGCTCACGTGGACGAGGCAGAGGCAGGGACAGAGGTCGTGGTGGTAGTGGAAGAGGTGGCCCACGAGAAGGCAGCAATGAGGCATCTAGTAGTAAAGACAAGAGCGGCATCCAATGCTACAACTGCCAGGAGTTTGGGCATTATGCAGCTGAATGCACAAACCCAAGAAAGGAGAGGGTCCATGAGAACAACCTCATACAAGAGGACAACGAACCTGCACTACTGTTGATGTCCCTGGAAAACAGACAAGAAATGGGTGAAGTGTTTTTAAATGAGGAGAATGTGAATCCGAAATTAAAAACAAAAGGTGGAGAGTCAAACCAATCAAGGTTATGGTACCTTGATACAGGGGCAAGCAATCACATGATCGGTGATGAAAGAAAGTTCCATAACCTGAACAAAGAAATACAAGGTTATGTTAAATTTGGAGATGAATCCAGAGTCAGAATTGAGGGCAAAGGGTCAATAGTTTTCAAATGCAAGAATGGTGAACAAAGAAGATTGGAAGAGGTGTATTATATACCTGATTTATGCAGCAATATTATAAGCCT